CTGCGTGAGTCAAACTTCTGTGTATTTACATAAGAAGGAGATTACTTTCATGGACACGTGTTGATGCGAGTGTGTTTTTTTGTGGGTGTTTTCTTCGTTGGGTCCTTTTCAATAAATATTCAGTTGTCAGTTCAGCGCTCGTCCTGTGTACTCCTTTTCCTCCCGTCCTTGTCGTTTGCGCGCTGTTTCCATTATTTCTAAGCATGAACCAACTCGCCCACATCGCTACTCTGATTCGTATAGAATTGTTTAACACCTGCTTTTGCTCCCTCATCTTGTCAGCATATTCTCCTAGTAGAAGATTGTGTTTATTTTGCGCAGTCTATGAATTCTGCGTTTTAAGTGAATAATATTACGCGTTAACCACGGTTTGTTATGATTTTTGGAGCGGAGAGTTCTTTTAGGCACATAAAGATTCAAGCACCCATGAACTATGTTTTTGAAATACAACCACATTTCGTTTACATTATTTTCTGGAAAAGAGTACAGACTAAGAAAAACGTCATGTTTAACTTCAAATTGGTCAATAACACTTTCGTCGAGCGCGTTCTTAATATCGTACACTCTGCGTGTGCTCCTACGAGCAGGACTAGCACAACCTACACAAGAGGGATTATATTCAAAAACAACAATGCGATGATCTGAGATGCCTTCCAAGACCTCACATGAAAAGGTGCGCTTCGCGACATCACTTGAAACAAACACGAGATGAGTATTTGACGATGAACCTTGAATACGTGTGGCTGTAGTGACGGTTTGATACAAGTTTAGATTGAACGACATTTCAGTTAACATGACAGAATCAGTACAGTTGTGGTTCAAAGGAGAAAGATTTTCCCAGCTAATATTGGGAAGGTTAAAATCACCTGCAACAATAACGTGCTTATTTATTTTTTTTTTTTTACAATGGGCGTGAGGTGTGAGTATAAATTTTCTAAAAACGTCAAGTCAGCGTTAGGGGGACGATAAACAACACCAACAATAATGGGAGGAGAAAATGAGTTTATTATAGTCCAACAAGACTCGGTTCCATCAACATCATTCATAACCGTAAAGGTCAGCGTACGTCTTCCTATTTATTCTGATGGTTTTCATCATATTCCTCCTAAGCTGTACTTACAACATTATGTGTGTCGGTACTTCCGAAAATATTGAAACGGCGTTTGTTTTCTGGGAACCCCCCCCCCCCCCCCCTCCCCTAACATTTTTGCGACCCCTCCACCACGAGAGCACCGGTCTTTTCGAATGATTTTAAATCCGCTGGGAACAATTTCAGAGTCACTGATAGAGCTATGGAGCCATGTTTCAGTGATGACCAGTACATCGGGGTCATGCGCTGCTAACAAAATGTCAAGATCGTCAAGCTTGTTCAAAAGGCTACGAGCATTTACGTTAATCAGCTTAAAACTACTTGGCCCTGTAAGTTGACGTCAAGGTTGGGAAAATGAAGAAGCTGCACGCAGCCTTTCACGCTGAGCAGTATCACAGTTCCAAACATAGGCGTCACCGTTGATAAGGAGCTTATCATAGACGAGTTTAACCTTTTGTTTGTCAGCTCTCTCGGCTTGGGAGCTCTCCCATAAGTTACGACGCAATGACTGCACACGAACAGAGTAATCTTCGTCAATAGCGATATTAGTACCTTTTAGCTTCGTAAAATTTTTCAAGAGGGCTACCTTATCATTGTAGTAAAAAAACCGCACTATAACTGGTCGCACTTTGTTTCTTTGATTTTTCCCTAGCCTATGCATGCGTTCGATGGAAGTTACTGTGACGCCTAGCATGCTTTCGACGATGTTCACACTTACATACTCTTAAACCATAAAAGGTCTCTTGAGCTACTTCAGGAATACCATAAATTATTAGGTTGTTGCGTCGTGATCTGTTTTCAAGATCGTCCAGTTTCAGTTCAATATGCGATACGGAAGATGTTAGACCTGTTATTTTCTCCTCGCAATCTTGTATTTTCCTTACTTCCATGCTCAGGTTTTCAATCGTCCGTTCGATAGAATTTAAGCGATTATCAAGTTTTGCAAGCGCTTGATCGAATGACGATTTCCACGTTTTGATGTCTGCTACGTCTTGAGCCATCTTGTTTTGACTCTCGAGAATCTGCGCAAGCAATTCCTCAGTTGTAGGCCAGGGTTCAGTTCTATGTCGCCAGACAAGGCCAACTTGATTAGGGAGTTTATAGCAGAAATGAAATCAGAACATGCCTGGGGGCTTGGCAGCAGTAAAAGACATATGTTATTGCTTTTGTGAGAGTCAGAATCAAATTGACCAACCTGCACGAGAACGAAGAACAGTTTAGGCGTCATGTTGGTTTGCTGCTGCCAAGCCCTGTGATGGATGCTGGGTTCAGTCGCTCTTTTATACCCCGGAGGCGCTGGCGCTGTAGTCGAAGATGGTCTGGTGACTTGTGACGATGCAACTCTGGGGCTCACGCGGAATGGCTGTCAATACGACGTGAAGTTTGAGGACAGCAAGTTCACACGTGGCAAGTGTACGTTTACAATCAGCGCTGTAGCGTGGTTGTTTCCTTGGACGAAGTGACTTGTAGAATGGTAGTCGACTGGCCACGGGGATGCCATGATCAGCAGCTGCACGAGAATGAAGAACAGTTTAGGCGTCATGTTGGTTTGCTACTGCCAAGCCCAGTGGTTCCACCAACTGCATGGTAACAGTTTGTTCCAGAACAATAAGATTATATTGAAACATACTCTTTCTACTTCAATAAAACATTCTGCCTATAAATATGGGCGTAACCATAAATGCCTGCTCGCACCTTATAAAGGGTCAAACCATTTGCAGGTGTTTTTCCTGCAGCACGAACATAAAATTAAATCATAGTAACATGGTAACATGCCTTATTAAGTGTGTTTCCTTATTAAGCACACGCCGATCTATGTTCATAAAGTTTGTTAAGGGAAATCGGTGGCTGAGTGGGCTAGTTCACACCAGCTCGGAGCACGTGGAGCGAAAGCTAGCGCTGCGGAACCCAGGGGTCCTGGGCTCTACCACCACCCCTGCCCGTTTCGATCTGGATGAGCATCCTACCGGCATGCGGTCGTGTATCACTACTGCGTGATGCACGTTAAAGACCCCATGATACCGGTTGTACTGCACTGGCTAAATTGCTCATCTACAGCGAGTGACTCGTCGCAACTTTGAAACGGCTGACCAACTACACGCTGTATAAGTATCCACACAACCCCGATTATTATTATTTCAAGTTGGTTAATGTCTGCATGCTACCGCTTATCCATTCTTTTTGGAGTGCCTTTTGGGTAGTAACAACTGGCCATCATTTTTATCCGGAACCGTAACTCCCTTGTTTTCACTGTCGTCAAAATCTTAATGCATTGGCAGTTCCTGGATCTCGCCATCTGTCAGGGATGGGCAAAATACATGGAAATGGTATCGAAATACAAATACAAAATACTCTGTCAAAAGTGTATTTAATTACAAATCTAATTACATTTCCAAAAAAGCATTTAAGTACAAGATACAAATACAACCAAATGTATTTGGTCTCCTCCAAATACTTTTCCAAATACATTCCTCAAAATTTGCGCCAGCGACTTCAGGGCATTTACCTGCACCGGGTTTCTGGGTATCTCATTTTAATTTTGCATGGCACACTCGGGAGTTAGTGTGCAAGGCTCTAGTAACGCAATACAAGAAATATAATCACAAAAAAAATGTAATCAGCTTGGACGTAATAGGGGAAACAACTACAGAGCTTCAAGCAGCTTTTTTTGTCGATTACATTTTGGTATAGAACAACAAAGAACCGAGACGACCAAGACGCGCAGCACTAGCTAGAGAATTTTTATTGTTGCAACTCGCAGCAGTTACGAAACTCTGGATGACCCGCGCATCTAGAATGTTCCAGGAAAAAATATGGGTGGAAATCGGGCTGGAAAGCATCACAAGTTGTCAGAGGCACTTATTTAGCCAGTCTGCCTGTGAACGTCGATTTCGTCACTATTCTTGCCCTGTACTAGTACCGTAATCACAAAGTCACTAAACGCTTGTGCTTGATTGAGAGACACTGCATTCGGTGCAGAACATAGTTTTCTTCCTGCTCTGGACAGTGCCTCTAAAATAAAGCAGGAAGAGAAAAAGAAAAAAAGCCCCATGGCCGAATAAAGGATGGAGACTATATCTTACAACCACATGCATAAAAACAAGAATTGTCGTGACAATAAATTTGAGGGATGTATTTTCGCCCGCCAAATTGTATTTAATTACAATTGTATTTGAAATACCCACGTTTTAGTATTTAAATACACAGTCAAATACATTACCCAATTTGTAATTAAATACAAATGCAAAATACACAAAGTATTTGAAATACTGCCCATCCCTGCCATCTGTCAAGGAGCGCAAGACTAGATGGCACAGATTCACGATTTCGGAGGAACAGAAACACGGGGAGAACAAGTCGCCTAAACATGAATTTCCATGTGTCATCATTAGGCGACACCACAGCATGTCAGCCAAGTTCATTTCTGCTGCTCAGATGAGAACATTTCGGAAGTTCAAACTGCGGAAGCCGTCGGATATACCAGCGTTTTCACATACAAGCTGCGCTTCAGACACCTCCTGTCCTCTTAAGATTGAATTTTAAGAGGACAGGAAATGTCTGATTCCCTGACTGCGCGCGCGCGCAGTCAGGGAATTTTCATAAAATAGTCAGGGAAATCAAAAGCATTATTTGGGTAGACGCCCTGTCAAAAAACCACCAAGAGAACATCACTTGGTCTTCCAGATGAGTTTTACTCACCATGATGCTAACAAGGCAATTCTTCGTGGCTTAGCTTCATTTTATTTTTAATCGAAGATCTGGCGTAATATGTTGGCCTTTTTTTTTTTCTTTCTTTTTTCTCAGCTAAATTCTCTGGAACATTGTACTCTGACTGTAAAATACTTACATAGAACAGGTATTTACTTGAGTTTGCTGAAATTCTAAACCTGGTGACTCTTTTGTTTTTCAGAGTGCAACTGTTGGCAAGATACTGAAGGACCAAGAGAAAAGTGGCAGGCTCGTTGCTGCCATCTGTGCAGGTACACGCTCATTTTACACCTCTGCAATTTCACAAACTGCTAGCTTTTTATTTAGTGACCTTGAGCCGATCTGTTTTTTACACAGCACCCATTGCCCTGAAGAGTCACGGCGTGGGTTGCGGAAAACAGGTCACGTCCCACCCCAGCAAAAAAGACGAAGTTGCAGCTGGTCAGTACTACTGGTGCATTTTCTTATCTTTTAAGCGTACATGTGCCGGGGGAAAAAATTTCTTTTTTGTTACTTACGATAACTGATTTAAATTTTCACAGCTTATAGTGCTTGATCTCCTTTTTATTAATGTGGTAGTTTTTATGTAGCTTGTTTTTTCTGTCCTGGATGCTATGTAGATAAAAAGAAACCATGTTGCAGACGCATGGAGCATGGCAACGGCTTTAGAAGAATGTAGTAAAATAAACTCATTCGCTCCTTTTAAACCACTCAGTGCAATGAAGTACAAAAATAATGTGTCTGAGACTTGCGTGATAATAAAATAAATAAATATTTAGAAAATTGCATTTTTAAAATGCTAAAAGAAGTTTCTTACATTTTTTATAAATATAAAAAATGCACATTCTAACCAAACCTTAATAGTTGCTTTCTACATATTTGCTGGTGATAGGACAATAGTTGCTTTCTACAAATTTTCTGGTGATAGGACAAAATTAAGAACGACAATTTTTGTGCACAAACTGTGAAGATGCTTCAGACTTACAGTGGAGATAAACATGTTAGAATTTTATCATAGATGTGTGCAGCACTCTTTCGCAACAAGAAAAATAATTTTTTGCTAAAAATTAAGTTACAGAAGGCTGCGGTAAAGAGGAGACGACTACGCCTACCGCGAACATAAATGAGATAGCGGGCGACATAAAAATATAAAGAACCGCACACATAAAAAGTGCTCAAATTTATGTCATTCTGGGTTGCCGGGAGTTTCTCAAACGCGTATTTAACTGATTTTGCTATCATAACCAATCTTTATTATTTTTGTGAAGGAAATATAAGAATTCAGGGATATTAAAACACCATTAAACCCAAACTCACAATTTTTGACGAATACTGTCGTTTTTCGACTTGCATTTTTCCTTAAGCTTTATCTAATTGCCACTAGAAACTATATTGCTAATTGATGGTACTAAGCTCTGTTGCAAGTTGAGCATTCTACTGACGACGCCCTTGTTTTAACTTGAAAAAAAGGGTCTACTCCGATTGAACCTTGCAAATGTGGATCTTTTGGTTTCCGACACTAATGTTACTGTACTCCATTTCACCTTATGGTTGGGGTTTCATGTTTTCGGTGTTTATATTTTTTTTTTTCAAATCCAGGGATGCTTTTTTCGGGGGGAGTTTTTTTATTATTTAGAGGTTTGTTGTTTTTTAGAGCGCAGCTCCTAGGTGCCCATTGCCGGCTTGAGCGGCGTCGGTGTCGGCGTAACTGCGCATTGCATTCTGGGACTTTTGTTATAATGACGTCACTCGTGACTTCAGGTGTGGCGTCACGAGTGATGTCGCTAGGGTCACAAGTGACGTCATGAAGGTCACGACCTTCACGAGTGATGTCACTAGGGTCACAAGTGACGTCACGAGAGAAGGGAGGGGGAGGAGAGAAAGGAGGAGGGGCATACCCTCCTCCTCCTCAAAGAGCTGTGCTCTAATTCGGCACTGCAGGGAATTGTAAACGTCTCATTTTTTTGTGTAAATCGATTATAACTTAACCAATTTACGGTAAAAAAAACAAGAAAAACGTGTCTGGAAAAAAAAAATGAAACCAGAAAACACGGATTTCTACTTATGGTGGACGGCAGAGGATTCTATGAGCCAACAAAGCCAATCCAGTGTCGTGTGAGCGTCACGTGACCACCGGGAGTTGTGCAGCGGCACACCGGGGCGCATTGTCACATGCGATGTTTACAGCGCTAATTTGGCTGGGATGGCTCATGGCATTTGCTACAATTGTCCCATGAGCATCGTGAGGTTTCTGTATTCTAAGAGAGAACATTAAAAATTATTATCAATCTATTAATCAATTCTTCCAAACCTGCCCCCATGACACGCATTCAGACCTTGTGTAATATACTTTCAATGATTCCTGCTTTAACGTTTTTAACCCATCTTTTGCAGCATTCAGGTTTTCTCTTACAAATCTATAAATTTTAACCCATCTTTTGTAGCGTTCAAGTTTTCTCTTGCCAATTCGTAGAATTATTCTTCCTTTTGCTGTATGTTAATTGTGCATCATTACAAAGGCGAAAGCTGTTCATAAGCAAAAAATAAACAAATGAGTGAGTGAATGAATGAATGGTTTATTTATTATTATTATTATTATCCATCGTGAGGTGAAACATCATGATGGATCGTAACCTCGAGAAAGTTAAAAGTTTTGCATGCATGAAGTTCACACTCTGCGTGGAGTAGTTCTTTTAATGCAGGGCTGTCAGAGCAAAAAAGCAGTGCATGTTTTAATAGAAAAAAAATTAAAGGAAGATCCATTGGTGGATCCTTAGGGAATGCGCTAGCATGACCCTTGGGAAACGCCACACATGTCCCCGTTTTGGGAAACGCTGACGCTGACCCCTTCACTCTTCTGTTCTGGCTTTCTCTTTTGCTCCCTCTATTTCTTTTCTCCTTTTAGCTTCGTTACGGGGTCAGTGTTAGTGTTTTCCAAAGAAGGACGTGTGCGGTATTTCCCAAGGGTCATGCTAACGCATTGTCTAAGGATTCACCAATGGATCTTCCTTCAATTTTTTTCCGGCAAAGCGGGCTCGCTAAGCTCGCTTCTCCCCAGCCTCTGTTGCACGCAGACCCACGTCGGCTTGGCCCTTCTTGTGCCGCACTTCGTCCAGCCGAGCCAGGCACTGCTTCCGCTGCCCGACGCTGCCTCGTCGGGCTTCTGTCTCGTTCGCCTGCCTTGCACGCTCAGCAGTGGCATCCGCTGCCCGACGCTGCTTTCGCTGCTCACCGGTTTCCTACGCAAGCATTGGCTTCCGCCTCGTGGCGTCGCCTTCACTACCCTCCTCTCCTTCCTTCCTCCCTTGTCCATCACCACTTTTCTTACTGCTTACCGGTTTCCTATGCAAGCATTGGCTTCCGCCTCGTGGCGTCGCCTTCACTACCCTCCTCTCCTTCCTTCCTTCCTTGTCCATCACCACTTCTCTTACTGCTTACCGGTTTCCTACGCAAGCATTGGCTTCCGCCTCGTGGCGTCGCCTTCACTACAGTCTTCTCCTTCCTTCCTTCCTTGTCCATCACCACTTTTCTTACTGCTTACCGGTTTCCTACGCAAGCATTGGCTTCCGCCTCGTGGCGTCGCCTTCACTACCCTCCTCTCCTTCCTTCCTTCCTTGTCCATCACCACTTTTCTCTACGTGCCGCGCTTATATAGCTTTCCAATCTTTTGTCTACTGACGGTCGCCGTCCACTTTTCGTGGTCATGTAGAGACTCGTGCTCGCACATTAATAACAAATATCTGGTCTTAAATGCCCATATAAGTATCCTAATTTGCCGCGTAAGGAGGGAAATCAGTACTGCCATGAGAGAAGCTAAACTTTTTTGCTACGGTTCTTGCGGTGAGAGTACAAATTATGGTATAGGTTGCAAAATTGGATGTGAGGGTCAGCATCGCTTACGAGCAGCATTAAACCCTTGATTTCGAGTTGGCTGCCGTGTTTTATAGGCCCATAGTTTGCATAATTAATTCATAAATATCCTTATCTATCCATTCGTTTTCGATATATTGAAGCCATTTGTGAAGTTTCTCCTACTAAATCCTCTCAAACAAGCTCATCATCATCATGCTTATGCATAAAGCAACCATAAATCAGACTGTGCAAAGAACACAGGCCTTGACTCATGAAGTCCATGCTTCTTCCTTTTGCATTCTTATCAGCTGGTGCCAATCACATTGGCTATGGAGTGACAGTAAGATGCTCAGGACTGAGCATGGCCCTGTACTTTTCATATTTTGTCAGTTTAGCTATTTTCGAGCTAATATCCATCTCATTGCAAGCAGTTTCATTTGGTACTAAGGCTGTGAGCCCCCTTTCGCCTTCTAGCAGATGGCACTGAAAGACAAATGCAATTTTCATATTTGAAAAAAAAAACGACTCTAACAAAGGTTTTGGTAGACAGTTCCTTGTCACACACTTAGATCAACTACTAAATGAGCGGTTGGTTTCCATTTTCTTTTTACAGCGGAGCTGATAAGGGCTAGTTTTCCCAGGATCGTGTCCGGTACGAAACAAGTGCCGACACAACATTCTGGTTGCCGCCGTTGCTCATAGATGGCGGTAGCTGAACAGAGTGTTGTGTTTGCCGGTTGTCTGCTTGCCACCGTCGCTCATAGATCGCGGCAACCTTTCCAGCCTCGGCAACCAGACAGCTGGTTGCTGCCGTCGCTCATAGGTGGCTGCAACATTTTTTCGGAGGAAGAAGAGCGGGAACAGAACAAGCGGCGATGTGCGCAGCAGCGCGAATGGTTCCGCAACCGCCGCGAGGCCGCTATCGCCTAAAGTTTTACTGCGTCGAGCGCTTCGGATTCCCTTGCGAAAGAAGAGCAGATCGCTCGCCTGGAAATGCCACCGCCGGGAACAGAAACTACATCTCCGCTGCTCTTCCTTCTTCACTAAAGTGGAAAGGCTGAAAGTTCTTTTTTTTTTTTTCCTGATAAATATGTTTCTTGCTTTTTTTTGCCAGTTACGAATTTTTGTATTATTTTTAATAACGTTTTTTTTAAATATTAGTTTCTTGATAAATTGAACAAATTACTTCCACTCTCAGGTCCACCGGGAGTAGGTTTGAAAGTTTGTTGCCCAGAAAACAAGCAATTTACGTTTGCTATATTTTTACTGGTGAGATTTATTTTTAAAATGATTGATTTGTGTGTTGTAGGTGACTACAAGTACAGTGAGAGCAGAGTGGTGGTGGACGGTCAGCTCATCACCAGCAGGGGACCTGGAACCGCTTTCGAGTTTGCTCTGGCCATAGTTGAGAAACTTGAGAACAAGCAGGCAGCTGAGAAACTTATTTCTCCAATGCTTGTCAAGGTCTAATCTGGGTGTGTCTCTGGACAGGGCAGTTATTTTCTTCTAGGAGTCAAAGGTGGTTCCTCGTAGCACTTTCCCTTTTTTTTTGGCAATTTATACAGTAACTGCCTTGTGTTCTGAATGCATATAATGATATGGGAAAATAAAACTTTATTTGAGTTCTTCAGAGTGGTATGGTTGCTCTGTCATTTGCGCCGAAGAACTCGCCTTGTGACGTTGGACTATATTTTTTATTTTTGCTGAAATTAATTTTTTTCCTTAACGTCGAAACTGTTAGTTTAGACCCCTCCACACTGTTAGGTCATTATGGTAGTTATGTGCGAAAATTCACAACTTTTTAATATGGCTTTCATAAAGTATGATTCGATTCGACCTTTGTAGGGACACACAACTCAGTTTTGCAGCATTTCCATAGTTGGGTACTCTTGAAATGTACTTTAAGCTGGTGCAGATAAAATTGCTACTGCATGAAACATCATTTCTTCTAAGCACTAATTCTAGTAAGCGCAATTCACGATTTGCAGCTCATTTTGAGTTACTAATTTCACAGTGGTTTTATTTTATACACGATGTATGTTCCATTCCAGTTGTAAGAGGGTTGACTGTGAAATGTATTACATTATTCGTGTTTCGTTCCCTTGTTTAAAATAAGCAAACAAACTGCTGTGCACCTTAGAAGTTTAATTGTTCTGCTGCATTAGAGAACTTTTTTATGTGCCAGCAGAGGAGAAAACACCACGCGACTCTAACTTTTAGTCACTCTAAAGAATGCTTCAGTGTCAAAATTCACTTGACGTCACTCACTAGGTGCGCTGGCATCGACCAGCACGGTCGCCATCTTTGGGGTCTCTCTATCCCACTTAGCTGTCGTTTGGCCGGTAATTTTTATACTTTGGCGCTTTTGAAGCGCGGTAGGAATTTGTGTGTGTGTGTGTTATTTGTTCGTTTTTGTCTTAGCAGACTTGTCCCCTGCGACCGTGTTGCTCCATCGGCTCCGTGCAGCGCTCCGTGTCGCGCGCCGTGCCCACGGTGGTAGCTGTTGTTTAAGAAGTCTGATTTTTCTACTTTAGTGCTTTCAGTGTTGGGAAATACTAAAGTACTACCTTAAGTAGGTTTAAAAAACATGTACTTTACTTGGAAGTAAATTATCCGAGTATGTACTTTTCTTAAAGTATTTTTTTCCGGTATTTTCCGAGAAAAATACAACTCCCGACCTCAAAGTACATTCCCCAAATTTTGTCTTGTTCAATTTGTATAACAAAATTATGCACTTGTCAACTCTAAAGAAATACTGGGAGGGATATTCTACTCTCATCAGATACGCGAGCAGACGACGCATCGCTCCGTTTGGTCTGGAAGGGGGCTTTCCCGTAGCTTTTAACCTCGCTACTCGTCGCTGGGTCAGCGCAAGCGAGGTGGTTAAAATCTATTAGGAAATGACAATTAATTGTAATGTGACACATAAGACTGGGGCCGAATGATTAAGAAACTTCAAGTCGAAGAAAACTTACAACCCAGGAGAACGTCTCAATGATTTGATACATTCTCCTCTTGACTTTTCCTTCAACGAACCGGGCACCGGACAATGGTGTGAACAACAAAGTTTCCTCTCTCTCTCTCTCGACACAAGATTTATTTTTCGCGCCACAGTCTCAGATTATAATTAACACCAACTCGCCTGCACACTCACTGTTTTTTTGTTTTTTTTAAGGAGGTACTTTTTGTACGAGAGAATAGACCTTTCCGGAAATGACGTTCCGGAAAGGTCTTGTGACGTTCAGGCGTACGGAACGTGAAATTATCCAAGAAGCGAAGACGAAGTTTACGTTAACATAGCTTTTGTGATTTCAGAATTCGGAGAAGGCAAAAGGAAAGCAAAACAGAGAATGCAATCACCTTCTCTTCCGTTTGATTAATTGTTTTGTGTGTTCTGACCTCTTAAGGTGCAACCCCACCGTGCAGGACGTTTTGGTGCTTTTTTAACGTCTTATAACTTTCGTTCTATATAACTTACAATTATAAAGTTAATGTCGAATTAAAGAGCTGTTTCTCGACAATTCTTTAATGTCTCAAAATTACGATTAGTTTTAGTTGTTAGTTAATAATTTATCTTTTAATAGACCGCAGTCTCTAATGTTGAACAAATTATTTCTCGAGTTATAACGTCCCATTGTCCTCGATAATTTACGTGAGAGTTTGGTTGCATGTAATAAATTAAAAAAGTAAGCAACGAGCTGTACAGATAGTGTACATTTTAAAATAAAAAATAAAGTTTAAAACGGCATCATTTTAAGGCGCTATAAAAACGGAATCACGTTAACTAATCAAAATAACGAGACATTAAATTATGAAGCATGCTTCAATATTATATTTTCCAGAACTTCCATATTGACATATTACACGTTAAAATGTTATAAGACCTCAACCTTTTCCCATTCAGTTACGGCAAATTGTAGTTTCTTAATATAAAGTACAGATGGTGACACGTGTTCAAAAACAGCTTGATGTGCATCTTCTGTCGTGTGCCGCTTGGAACGCCACGTGAAAGACAGAAAAATTGCCAGATGTCACGGTGTCAGATGCCTGGATGCCCGCAGTGAGCGAGCCAGAGATGTCAGAAACAAGCGCGAGGCTGCGGGTGCACCACAGCTACTTTTACGTGCGTTCTACTGTGCGTCGGTACGCATTCCCCGACACGATCCAAATGAAATGGGTGCCATGAAATGCATTCTGCCATTTCAGATTCCGCCACGAATGCAAAAATATTTTAATGTTTTTATCACATGGAAACCATTTTCGCAATCAAACTATGCTTGTCGGAATATTTTGTTTCAAAAACCACCTCGGTGGCTTTTAAGTGGCAATGATATTAGAACAAAACACAAGACATTAAATCGTCTCAGTGTCTCTGAGCCAACGCGCTGGCCCATAAATCTATATTTGTTGGGTTTAAATATCGGCCGAGGTGCCCGCAATCCGACGGAGGACAATTTGAGATTTCGGTTGCACGTCAAAAGATCTCCAATTAGTCAAAATAAACCCGCAATTTTTTTTATTGGGGTGTGTTAAGTGATTTTTGTTGGTTTGTCTTGTGAAACCCTAAGATCTGAATATTTGCTTTGCTTTACTTTAGTTCGGAACGCAGCCAACGCTACGGGCTGATAAAGCCACTGAAGCAGCGCCAAGAGCGCAAGGTCAAGCTGTTTGTTCTCTAGAACTAGAACAACTAAGTAAGTTACGCTTCATAGACATCTTGGTGCTTAAAATAATGGTTGTCAGTTATCTGAAGCTTTTTAAATCACAGGAAACGCCTTTCCGTGCTCGACAAATGTTTAAACAGTTCGTGACAAAGCAAAGCAATATTACGCGAGCTGCCTGACACCGAAACTTTTGAATCATGATGATCGGCGGTTGCGTTTGATTGGTTACTAACCACCAAGATGGCGGCACCCACAATAATGTTTGAGGAAAAAGTACCGATACTCTAAGCATAGCTCATTTGGTTTAGCTCACAGGCTAAACCAAGTGCGGCGGGGGACCGTTGGCCGAGTGTGGTGTGGCACCGCAGATCAGAGCACGTGGAGAAATGCTCGAGCGCGAGCTCCGTTCAAAGCACGGAGCTCACGCTTCGGAACCCAACGTTGGCGGAACGTGTAGGGACTAAATCCCTTCGATGTGTTTGCGTTGGTTTTTCAAATAACCTCAAAGGTGCCAGTGCACGAGGCCCGTGTCTCAAGTGGCCCTTTGAGGCAAATGGCGGCGCAGCACTAAAATGACTGGCCCTTGAAAGCGAATGGCGGCGGAGCACCCGCTCGTGGCACGTGTCTTGCGCGTTTCCCCAACAATGGTTGGCGGCACTTGTAAAAAACGCCTTTATCAACGGCTTTAGCAGGGACCCTGGGTTCAGTCGCCCATCTGCATTCTACCGTCGTGCGATCGTGTACCACATATACTGCGTAATGCACGTTAAAGACCCCGAGCTAACAGTTGTACTGCACGTTTTATAACCTTCAACGGGTAACAATGTCGCACTACGAAACTGCTGCTCTCTAAAAAACTAACGACTAGTTTTGAATGTGCCGTTACATTGCATTTTTAATGTGTGTTCGCTTGTTCACGTTCTTTGTTGTTTTTTTTTTGTCGACATCTTTGATTATTCGGCCATTACTTATGATGAACCAGACTGTAGGTATCGGACTTCTGGAAAAAATATTATATATCTAAGAAAATGGCACGTGAACGCAACAGACAAAAAAAAAAAACACATAGGCGCTCCTAATAAAAATAATTAAAATAATATAATTGATTATAATTGTGTTTCTAAAGGTTTTAGCGTACCAAGAGCTATAAAGACGAACTCTATGCTTTGTATGGTGCGTTTGTTCACTGGAAGTATAGTTCAGGGCAGTATGCTCGCACTTGTATATTCCGCTTCGCTCGCAGGGTAAAACCAAATAATTTACTGGTAATGTATTTAGTGAAACAAAGCTTCTTCTGTATATGTGCAATGCCCTCAGTTTTCGCGTGACTACACGCTTGTTTATCATCATTTATTTTCGTTTCAAACTGCAATTCAGTTCGTGTTCTTTTGTGTGCTACATGCATTAGAGACCAAGGTAACCCAGAAGCATTCTATTTCGCGGATTGTAAAAAAGCCTATGCGACTTGCCACGTGTGCCACAATCAATACAAAATATTATAAGCTTCACATATGCCCGCTTGCCTGAGTAAACATTGTTGTTTGTCAAGAACAATTGTGATTGTATGAAATCACGTGGGAAAAAACTCGTTCTAAGCACGCGACCGTCGGCATGCAGTGAATACTCATAATCGGCGCCGAGATGATTGGTAGCTGTCAGCAGGTGGAGTTTTTATATCAACCCAAGCTTAGAAAGTTTCATTTTTTTTTTCTTGTAAGCAATGTGGAGAGGACTTAGACCAAATCTGAGGGTAATAAAGTACTATGAGCTTTCAAACATAATGGCCTGAGCAGTATATGTATACAAGCTTTAGCCTTTGAAGCACCCTTAACTTTCGAACAGTGAACGCTAGTGCAAAATGTAGGGCTGTTTCATTCTTAAGTACCATATGAGTGCTTACACTATATTTTGTACAATGTCAAACTGTACCCGTTTGCATCTTTCTTCATTTTTTGCACACCACTAC